GTAAAACTTCAAATAACAAACAAGATATACCGACCAAAGGTTGGCCAAACAGTTAAATAAAACTAAAATATCACTTTCAATAAATGTCTCTATAGACTCTTACTCTCTTCACACACAAGTAACAATAGATGTAATTAGCAATTCTTAGAACTAAAACACCACGTTCACGGATGAGTCACCGACAAGTAGCGAGCGATGATAAAGTGCAACGGTTGGTCGCTCGGTACTATCAGTATCTTACTGCTCGTCAGCCAGTGAAGACGTGTGTTGAGGTGTGTCAGATTGTTCTTTACTGTCGAAGAAAGATTTAAAGGTTTCGTGTACAACTTTAGTACAACAAGACCGTGAGTGTGCTGAATATTGTTCTGCTGCAAAAGTTCTAAAATATAACACGAAAATGAGCGCACAATTAGAAAAATCCTCAACAGTCCCCAGAGACCTGTCGTTTCTTCGACAAGCGGATCATATGAAAAGGCTGCAATCACTGCCAACTGCTAGAATTGCACCAATGCCACACAACCATCAAGGAGTGGTTGCTGGGCAGGCGAGGAATAAGCTGCCGCCGAACTACGAGGCGAAAATACGGCAAGCTGAATGGCTGCTAGACTCTCGGGAAGGGCAGATTGCTAAAAGACCTCGCTACTCTTGATTCTAGTTATTATGTGAAATATTTGTCTAGTTGTGTGTATATTTGTGTTGTAAATAGTGACGTAAATGTAAATAAACGTGTTTCAGTTATAGCTCTTGTGATGTTTGCGATACACAATTATGTATTTTAAGAAATATTTCATTCTGTATGTGTATCAAAATGTATTTTAAATAAGTACCAATATTCAATAAATATTGTATAAATGAGATAAACAAAGTTTTTATTTCATCTACAAACCCTATGTGTTAATCTCTAGGCAAGTAGATTTACTAGATCATCTATCTATATGCCTTAATGTTAAATATTGCCCTAACCACACTGTGGCGTTGCAACAATTGGGGTGGTTGCTTAAAAAACTTATTTTTAAAAAATGAACGCGTCATTTCAGTCCAACGAACGAAACTTAATTCTGAAACTCAGAGTTTGTGATTTTCGGTTTACATTGATCTCAGGAAACCCGATAAGAGTTATAAGTATATAGTGATAATGATTTGAGTAAATGAGAGGAATATCTAAATAACATGGAGTACGGATTATATACCAACAATATTCCCACGCTCCATCCTAATGTTAACTGGTATATATCGCTGAAGGTAAGCGACCCAGATGCCTACTGTTCGGATGGTCTGAAAAAGGTAAATAATTCGTGGAACTTTAAATGGTAAAATGAAGAATCAAAATGTGTAGGTACGTCTTATGGAGACGAAGGCAAATAGATACTAGATGCAATGTTTGAAAATATCATCGTAGGATGATATATTTTAGTAGTATCTGATATATTTATTTATGAAGTTAATAACTGCCGACTGAAAACTTCACTAAGGTCGGTCAACATTGATAGCGTTAGCATTATAAGGCATTATATCATTGATCATCAGCCTATAACTGTTACAGGGTGATGGAACATTAAACTGTCAAACACCAAGCGGTCACCGGTGACCGCGACCTATTGTTCTTTAATTGTGTCTATAAAACCGGTACTCGACGAGTTAATAAATCACAATGCGTACCTAAGGCGGCGATTTCAAACTTACAATTACAAAATTCAAGTTCAAGTTTCTTCACGTTTTCATCATCATAGCCATGTCAGTGGTGAATAAATAAATTATAATCTTAGCAAAAGTAGCATTGACCCTTGTCAGGTTTCGAGCCCACACACTCATGCATGATGCTTGAAAGCAAAACTACTTACAGAATCCTAAGTAAAAATTTGAAATAAAAAAACGTTTATCATTTAAAAACGTTTATTATATTAAAAATTCATTTTTTATACACATAAGGTACATGACACATTACAATACAATTAAAATCACTTAATTTACAAACAATAACCTTTCTTCCAAACACAATAATTAAGTCTATTGCTTGAACTTTGGAACAACTCTGCTACAAACTAAAGCTAAACTAGATTAACACGCTATCTATGTAGTGATACACGCTATATATAATAATGTATATACAATAGTATGCACGTATATATGCTGCATTAGATTATGTTATTATTGTAATCAATGTTTAAATCATCAAGATACGCACAATTTCTTCGATCAATCCGCTCTTCAATAACTTCATCTCGGTCCTCATGCACCCCATGAACATTGGGTTCATCATGGATTGCGTCGCTATTGTTTTGTGTCGGCTTTTCAGTTGGTTCGATCTCCGCAAACGACATCTCGTTGGGGCCCGTTGCAGATTCTTCTCTTTTTGCACTCATTTGTGTTACTGTTTACTTTTGCAATTGAACTTTTCCTTGACAGTGCAAGACACACTAAAACACTGACACTGGCTGACGAGCAGGAAGATACTGACACTACTGAGCGACTAGCCGTTGCATTTTATATCATCGCCTCCTGCTTATGGTGACTCATTCGTGAACGGTTTGTGGTGTTTTAGTTCATCTTTTGTTATTTGTGAGTGAACAGACTCTAATGGTATTTATTGAAAGTGGTATTTTTGTATTATTTCAATTCAAGTTTAGTCAAGACTAAAAGTTTGGTTCGAGCTGGACCGTGTTGGTCAATGGGGAACGTTCCCAGAAGACGTTAATTACATTGATTCGAACTATCGTGGTAATTTAATTGTTATACCCTGTCAACAACTCCATTCAGCAGGTGGGTATTTAACTAATGATATTAACAGTTGCAATAGGCAATGACCAATTATTATGATCAGTATCAATCAAGTTGTAATTATGTGAATAAATATTAATTATTTATAATAATTTAATGTGCACCCTTTACTTAAGTCTTGGAGCAATAAACGTAGATATTTACAACTAGTAGCTGTAAGGTCATATTTTAATATCTCCGTACTGAAATACGTACCGAAACGGCGGATGTTAATATAGATATCTATTCTTGGCATAAGTTCTGTTTAATGTGGAATTAAGAATGTTTTTTTAAATCTCGATCGATTGTCTCTATAATAATTATAACGTGAGAAATTAGACATCACGATAATAGATTTTAAACTTTATTTAAAACTAAAAAGCAAAAATAACTATTATTGGTCATACGTACTTACATATAGCTTACACACGTCTTACACACCCACTGATAGGTTTGAAGTCGGTGCCACAAGTTTTACTCAAAATTATTCATTAATACCTTAATAGATACCTAACATTATTAAGCTGTTTACAATTTTATTGTGGATTATACCTGTGACCATTCCCTAAGATATATTTTGTTATGGGTTTGTGGCACCGATTCTAACCTATCAGTGGGTGTGTAAGCTATATGTAAGCACGTATGACCAATAATAGTAATGTTTTGCTTTTTCGTTTGTTTTTGTTTTTGAAGTCGGTTTATTTAAACGCAGTTTTCTATTTTATACTTATTTGTTTAGTACTAGAATATATTATATTATGTACAATCCACATCGGTGCAAAGTTTTCATCGATACATATTATTCAAGCTCAAACACCAGGTAGCTAATGTTAACCATTGTTCTCTTAGCTATCATACTACTTCATCATTGGACATTTAGTGACAACCACGCCACATCTAGGTGTAAAATTCTCATCAATACAAATTAATCAAACCCAATCACAATGTAGCTGCAGTTAACCGTTGAGGAGTTCCCTCAACTATGGTACTACTTCATAATCAGACCTTTATTGGCAATCACATACCACCTAGGTATAAAGTCCTCATCAATACAAATTAATCAAATCCAAACACAATGTAGCTACTGTTAACCGTTGAGAAGTTTCCTCGACTGCCTATCGGCTCCATCATCAGATCAGCTCCAGACCTTTTTCAGATTGTAGTGGTTTTAAATACTTAACGAAAAAATTAACAAATGTATTAGTCGCCCCTATAATTTTTAAAAGTTCCCTTCGGTTTCCCTGGGATTCCATCATCAGATCCTGACTTCATAACAATGGGACCAAATGACAAACCTACCCTTTCAAACAAAAATAGAATTTTTGAAATCGGTCCAGGCGTCATCGACTAATCGAGTAACAAACATAAAAAAAAATTACAGTCGAATTGAGAACCTCCTCCTTTTTTTTGAAGTCGGTTGAAAAGGTATGAGGTTTGAAAATCAATTTAAAATAAACGTGACAATGCGACCGGCCCGGGGCCAGTTTCTGTCTATAAGGACAATCTATTTAAATCATTTATTCGTTTTAAATTAAACAAATGACAAAGACAAATATTTCAAACTGAACTAGAACAATGGGTGGCTTTATTACTTACTTCACTCAGAACTTGTAATAAAATATATTTACGGTGCGTTTTAGCAAATATGTAATAAGTTTCTGATAAATGTCTCCTTTATAAGAATCAAGTTTACAGCAATGCCTATGCAACGTCTACGGTGCTACGAGTCGTAGCATTGTAGCTTCGTAGCATTCGTAGCAGATGTGTAGCTGAGGCGCGAGGGTGTAAACCGAAACCGATAAAATTATTTCAACTATTTTAAAGTAACTCAGAACGAGTCCAGATAAACCAAACTATTCAGTCTTGACTAAACTTCAAATAACAAACAAAGGTTAGCCAAACAGGTAAATAAAATATCACTTTCAATCAATGTCTCTATAGACTCTTACCCTGTTCACACACAAGTAACAATAGAAGTAATTAGCAATTCTGAGAACTAAAATACCACGTTCACGGATGAGTCACCGACAAGCAGCGAGCGATGATAAAGTGCAACGGCTGGTCGCTCGGTAATATCAGTATCTTACTGCTCGTCAGCCAGTGAAGACGTGTGTTGAGGTGTGTCAGATTGTTCTTTACTGTCGAAGAAAGATTTAAAGGTTTCGTGTACAACTTTAGTACAACAAGACCGTGAGTGTGCTGAATATTGTTCTGCTGCAAAAGTTCTAAAATATAACACGAAAATGAGCGCACAATTAGAAAAATCCTTAACAGTCCCCAGAGACCTGTCGTTTCTTCGACAAGCGGATCATATGAAAAGGCTGCAATCACTGCCAACTGCTAGAATTGCACCAATGCCACACAACCATCAAGGAGTGGTTGCTGGGCAGGCGAGGAATAAGTTGCCGCCGAACTACGAGGCGAAAATACGACAAGCTGAATGGCTGCTCGACTCTCGGGAAGGGCAGATTGCTAAAAGACCTCGCTACTCTTGATTCTAGATTTTATGTGAAATATTTGTCTAGTTGTATGTGTATTTGTGTATATTACTATTTGTATTGTAAATAGTGACGTAAATGTAAATAAACGTGTTTCAGTTATAGCTCTTGTGATGTTTGCGATACACAATTATGTATTTTAACAAATATTTCATTCTGTATGTGTATCAAAAATGTATTTTAGATAAGTACCAATATTTAATAAATAGTGTATAAATGAGGTAAACATACTTTTTATTTTATCTACAAACCCAATGTGTTAATCTCTAGGTAGGTGAATTTACTAGATCATCTAAATGCCAAATTGTTAATATTGCCATAACCACACTGCGGCGTTGCAACAAATCAAATGGTTGCTTAGAAAAAATTATAAAAATGAACGCGTCATTTCAGTCCAACGAACGAAACTCAATTGTGAAACCCGATAAGAGTTATAGTCATATAGTTAGTCCGAAAATGATTTGAGTTAATGAGAGGAATATCTAAATAACATGAAGTACGGATTATGCACCAACAATATTCCCACGCTCCATCCTAATGTTAACTGGAATATATCGCTGGAGGTAAGTGATAAGGATGACTACTGTTAGCATTGTCTAAAAAATGAAACAATGATATTTGTCTTTGTAAGTAATTCGTGGAACATTACCTATAAATGGTAAAATGAAAAATCAAAAGATAAGAATGACTACTGGTAGCATTGTCTAAAAAATGAAACAAGCAAATATAAGTTTTATGACTATTTGAAACTAATTTAGAACGAGTCCAGCTCGAACCAAACTTTTTAGTCTTCACTAAACTTGAATGTTAAATAAAACGAAGTTACCACTTTCAATAATGCCCCTATAGACCCTCATCCTATTCACACACAAGGAACAATAGACGTAATTAGCAATTGTTAAAACTAAAATACCACAAACTTTCAGTGATGACTCACCGACAAGTAGCGAGCGATGATAAAATGCAACGGCTGGTCGCTCGGTAGTGTCAGTATCTTACTGCTCGTCAGCCAGTGAAGACGTGTGTCGAAGTGTTTATTGTGCGTTACATTGTCGAAGAAAATTTAAAATTTCGCGTACTATTTTGGTATACGCGAGACAAAATATTGTTTCATTGAAAACATTCTTTATAACAACACGACAATGAGTTCGCAAGTAGAACGATCATCATCGGCCTCCAAAGACATGGCGTTTGTCGAGAGACAAATAAAACGCATCAGAAGACTGCGATCGCTGCACTCTGCTAGAAATCAAGCAAGGACGCACAACCAACATGAAGTAGTTGCTGAACAGGCTAGGAATGAGCTGCCGCCGAACTACGAGGCCAAGGGACGACAAGCTGAATGGCTGCGCGACGACCAAGCTAAGCATCAAGATGCAGAGAAAGACAAAAAACATTACGCCAGAGTGAATTTATTTTAAACTTATTATCAGCAGTAGAAGCTGAGCGACTTGAATGTAAAAAGAAGAAAAGGAATTCTGATGAAGAATTCTCCACATATGAACAAGCTACCGTGAGACAACACAAGCTGGTTAAAATTATGCCAGCAGCTGATATGGAGCAGTATGAGAAACAGAAGTATGGCGATACTTTCCGTAGTGAACCTAATGTCACCATTCATGAGATGCACAAGGATCGAGAGGAAGCGATCGACAAGATGGTTAATGACCTGCTGGAAGAGCAGATTGTTAAAAGAGGTCGCTACTCTAGAAGTCGAGGGTATTTTGATGATGCAGATTACTACATCAATGACAAAAACGCCAAATTCAACAAGAAACTGGAATGTGAAGATTGGAAACTAGGAAGATCATACACAAGAGAACTAGGAACTGCCATTTAGTTTCTGCACGTTGTAACTATAAATATGAAGCTATTGTAGGTATATATGTATAGTAGTTAGAGTTAGGTGCTTTAGGTATAAATTGTATGACAAAGGTATATTTTAAAAATAATCTTTTTGCATGATTCTTAGACTCAGAAATATGTTCCTATTTGTAAATGTTTTAAGAGCTACTGTAACACGTTAGGACTGGAAAGTTTACTTTAGTTTACTCTAGTTTATTTTTTTTATCAAAATTGTATTTTAGATAAGTACCAATATGTAATAAATATTGTATAAATGAGGTAAACATACTTTTTATTTTATCTACAAACCCTATGTGTTAATCTCTAGGTAGGTAAATTTACTAGATCATGTAAATGCCAAATTGTTAATATTGCCATAACCACACTGTGGCGTTGCAACAAGTCAAATGGTTGCTTAGAAAAAAATATAAAAATAAACGCGTCATTTCAGTCCAACGAACGAAACCTAATTCTGAAACTCAGAGTTTGTAAATTTCGGTTTATTTATTTATTTTTTTCTTCTTCACAAAATACAGTGAATGGCGGACTTAATGCCTTAAGGCATTCTCTTACAGTCAACCATAGGGAAGTGCAGAGAAATGAAGTGGTTGATGCGAAGCCAGAAGACAATAAAAAAAAGTTATGTAATATGTATACTACACACATAAATACCTATAGAATAAATATATTAATACAATATTTTATAAATAGACATATACATACCATATACCTCTAATATATACTACTAAACAAATACTTATACTGCATAAATACTACAATATATTATATAACAAAGAAAACGTTGTTAGAATAGTTCCTCAATTGTTTTGAGTCTGCCAATGCTTAAGTAGTTGCTCACGGACTTTAAATTTAAAGGTATTGCGACTTGTTGCCATTCTGATCTCCTTGGGCAACGCATTCCACAAAATAACAGCTTGAATGAAAAAGGAAGAATGAAAGAAGTCAGTGCGATGAGAGATACATTGAAGAATTGGTTTACATTGATCTCAGGACACCCGATAAGAGTTATAGTTATATAGTTAGTCCGATAATGATTTGAGTTAATGAGAGAAATATCTAAATAACATGGAGTACGGATTATGTACCAACAATATTCCCACGCTCCATCCTAATGTTAACTGGAATAGATCGCTGGAGGTAAGTGATAAGGATGACTACTGTTAGCATTGTCTAAAAAATGAAACAATGATATTTGTCTTTGTAAGTAATTCGTGGAACATTAAATGGTAAAATGAAGAATCAAAAGATAAGGATGACTACTGTTAGCATTGTCTAAAAAATGAAACAATGATATTTGTCTTTGTAAGTAATTCGTGGAACAGTAAATGGCAAAATGAAGAACCAAAATATGTACGAAGGCAAATAGATACTAGAATGCAAAGTTCGAAAATATGACCGTTGATCGTAGGATTTTAAAATTTAGTAGAATCTGATATACGGAGTATCTGATATATTTATTTATGAAGTTAATAACTTCCGACTGAAAACTTCACTAACGTCAGTCAGCATTGATACCGTTAGCATTATAGAAAGAAAGAAAGAAAAACTATTTATTTTGCTACGACACGCAACAAGAATTTAGAAACACAAAAAAAGGCTATGGTGCGTCGCAGCGCAAAAGGCTGGAGCTCAGCTTAATACCGTGGACCGGGCACAGAGGCTCGAGCCCACGATATACATTATATATATTATATCATTGATCATCAGCCATATTTTATTTTTAACTGTAGGTACTATTCATCATATGTTTTGGAAGCGTTCTGTTTACACTCCGTACATTACCGATAAAACAAATGTAGGTGAACTATTCAAAGGTTTCAGCATTAAAAACCAAAGGCTATGGTGCGTCGCAGCGCAAAAGGCTGGAGCTCAGCTTAATACCGTGGACTGGGCACAGAGGCTCGAGCCCACGATATACATTATATATATTATATCATTGATCATCAGCCATATTTTATTTTTAACTGTAGGTACTATTCATCATATGTTTTGGAAGCCTTCTCTTTACACTCCGTACATTACTGATAAAACAAATGTAGGTAAACTTTTCAAAGGTTTCAGCATTAAAAACCAAAGGAGGCCACGCTACGCCTGCTAATCAGATATCATGCGTAAAAATTACGATTTTACTAATCGATACCGTAGGATACAATACGGTAGGTACAAAGGGATCGGCTCTAATTATTTCCAGTTTAGTATTTAGTCTTAGGCTCAATCAATTTACCTTCATATGCCCTGTTCTATACATGTACCTACCTAGGTCCGAGTAGCAGAGTAGTACTTAGAATATACTTATTACGGCTCATAATCGTCTTACACACAGAAATATCAATTTACATTTATGGTCTCACGCGTGTAGGTAAGAGTCGGTTAAACTTTTCAAGGATAACCGAATCGGGCTGACGTTATATATTTCTCAGTAATAGTACCTAGGAACGAAGTCTCTGTACTTATTGCGAGGAACTTGATGGAATCCATAACATCCCTAACTGTTAAAAGTGGGTTTTACACTGTTTTACTGACTTACTGAATACCAACACGCAGTACATAATGCCTTCGCAACTCTACCTACCTCTTAGTGATTAATAAGGTGACCTTATTATGTAATGTTCGTTGGAAACAGTAGCTTTTCAAAAAGAATATTCGCAATCGGAAGAAATCCAAATTAAATTTGTGCCTGCCAGTAAATACTAAGGTTGCAAGCCGAAATCCGAAAAGTTTTCTACCGGATACATTTTGGTGAGTGTGCGGGAGAATTGCACAACTTGATTCCCCCTAGTCTTTTTTATCATCGTACCACAAGACAATCAGCGAAGCGTCACCGATTCATGGTAGATGTCCCACCCACACGCACGAAGCGCTTCGCATCAAGCTTCCTTGTGCGTACTGCTGAGGAGTTGATTTCTTTGCCAGAGTCTGTATTACCTGAAGGGTTTGACCTGGGTGTCTTAAAGGCCCCTATGAATAGGTTGCTTATGGGACGACGTGATCCATCGTAGACCGCATCATCGCTTACCACCAGGCGAGATAGTGGTCAAACGTCGACCAAACAAATATAAAAAAAAATGATGACAATTAAGTACAGTTACTTTTCTTTCTTTCAAAATTAAAACTCAACGACTCAGGTAATAGAAATAAAAGAAATATTTTACACTTTTACACAACATTTATTGAACCTTAAATATATTTTTAAGACACAGGATATAAAAAACAATTAATTTATATGAAAAACAAAATTCAATGGCTTGAGTTGTATCACCCAGGTAAACAAATTGGAATAAACCTTTGTAACAACTCTGATACATTCTTACCCTTACAGGTGATACTTAGCACTAAGAACTAAAGCTAAACTAGATTAACATACAATCTACTCCAAAATGAATTCAATATAGGCATTTCATAATTACCGAGTTTTAAAATATGAAACTATAAAAAAATTACGACAGCTGACAATAAAGTTGGAATAAAGTTTCCACACTCTTATGGAGTCACAGTATCTCTATACAACATTAACAATTACAGATTATGTTTTCGGCTTACTTACGTAACTGTTTGACGAGGAACTCGACTAGTTTCAAGCCATGCTACAGGCTCATAATTATAAACATTAACAATTACATCACAATTAACTATGATTTAGTCTAAAATATAATTATCATAAAATTAGACCCCAAACCACTACAACTAACTGTACTATAAGGTACAACAGCTTTGGACAAATAGTTTCAGCTTACAATAACTATATGGCAGTTCCACGCTCCAAGTTCTGTTTAATTTCAGCTGTATGCTCTCCGTAAAATCTCTCCAGTTTCTTGTTGAAATTAGCATTTCTCTGGTTAATGTAATCAATATCTGCATCGTGATTGTGTGCACGTCTCCTAGAGTAGCGAGTCTCTTGGAATCTGCCTTCCAGGTCATCAACATCTTGTCGACAGCTTCTCTCCGGTCCTCATGCATCCCATGAATGATAACATTAGGTCCACCGTAGAAAGCATCGCCATACTTCTGTTTCTGTTTCTCATACTGTTCCATATCAGCTGCTGGCATATTTTTAACCAGCCTGTTGTATTGCCTCACGGTTGCTTGTTCATATGTAGAGAATCCTTCATCAGGATTCTTCTTCTTCTTTTTACGTTCAAGTCGCTCAGCCTCTACTGCTGATATGTTTAATAGTTTCACTCTGTCGTAATCTTTTCCTGCTTTCTCTGCCTCTTGACGCTTTGCTTGGTCGTCGAGCAGCCATTCGGCTTGTCGTCGCTTCGCCTCGTAGTTCGGCGGCAGCTTATTCCTAGCCTCCTCAGCAACTACTTCTTGATGGTTGTGCGTCCTTGCTTCATTTCTAGCAGTGTGCAGTGATCGCAATCTTTTCATGCGATCCATCTGTCTCTCAGCAAATGACATTTCTTTGGGGGCCGATGTAGATTCTTCAGTTGTGGCACTCATTGTGTTACACGCAGTCTTGGTATATTAAAACTGTACACGAAACTTTAAACTTTTCCCTTGACACAATAGATATACTAAATCGCCTCGACGCACGTCTTCACTGGTTGACGAGCAGTAGGGTACTGACACTACCGAGCGACCAGCCGTTGTATTGTCGTCGCTCGCTGCCTGTCGATGACTCATCCGTGAACGGTTTGTGGGCTTTTAGTTCGAAGAATTGCATCTATTGTTACTTGTGTGCTTTTTATGTTTCGGTTTACACCGGTACACGTCTCAACTACACGTCTGCTATGAAGGCTATGATGAGTCGTGAGCTACGATTAAATAGGAATTACTGTAAACTTGATTCTTGTAAAGGAGTCATTTATCAGAAAACGTTGTCAAAAACTCTAATCTGACAGTATAAGTAATAAGGCCGCCTACTATTCCGTTTCACTTTATTTAAAAAACCTATCGTGTTTATTAAATAAAGTTTATAATTTATTAACAAGATGTTTGATATGTTATTGACGAAATTAGTAAAATTATTCTTAATTCAAATTTAAACAGAACTTATGCCAAAAATAGATAATTCTATATTAACATCCGCCGTTTCAGTACGCAGCTGTTGAAGTATGACCTTACAGCTACTAGTTGCATAATTTAAATAGAGGTATATGCGAAAACTTGTACTTGGCCTTACTTTAATCATAAATGTAAAATTAAAATAAAATAAAATAATATCTACGTTTATTGATCAAAGATTTAAGTAAAGGGTGCTCATTAAGTTAATAGCTAATAATTAGTATTTATTCACATAATTATGACTTGATTGATACAGACAATAGTAATTAATCATTGCCTATTGCAACTGTTAATATCATTAGTTAAATATCTACCTAGTAAATGGGTTTATTGACAGGATATAAAATTAAAAATCTATTTAGTCCGTCAATTAGATATTGAAATGTACTCGTTTGAATTAAACAATTATTTTTGTGTTGCTTAGTCCATTTATTGAGAGACGATAAGGATTAAACAAAAATCCTATCTTCATAAGTTAAAATTAACATCAATTTTGTTGCAATTGCTACGCCGCATCTACGGTGCTACGGCACATCGTAGCATTCGTAGCAGAGGTGTAGCTGAGGCGCGAGGGTGTAAACTGTAGTAGAATAAGTTTTATAACTATTTGAAACTAAATCAGAACGAGTCCAGCTCGAACCAAACTTTTTATTCTTGACTAAACTTGAATGTCAAATAAAACGAAGTTACCACTTTCAATAACGCCCCTATAGACTCTCATCCTGTTCACACACAAGTAACAATAGATGTAATTAGCAATTGTTAGAACTAAAATACCACAAACCTTTCATCGATGACTCACCGACAAGTAGCGAGCGATGATAAAACGCAACGGCTGGTCGCTCGGTAGTGTCAGTATCTTACTGCTCGTCAGCCAGTGAAGACGTGTGTCGAAGTGTTTATTGTGCGTTACATTGTCGAAGAAAATCTAAAATCTCGCGTACTATTTTAGTATACGCGAGACAAAATATTATTTCATTGAAATAAATCTTTATAACAACACAACAATGAGTACGCAAGGAGAACAATCATCATCGGCCCCCAAAGACATATCGTTTGTCGAGAGACAAATAAAACGCATCAAAAGACTGCGATCGCTGCACTCTGCTAGAAATCAAGCAAGGACGCACAACCAACATGAAGTAGTTGCTGAACAGGCTAGGAATGAGCTGCCGCCGAACTACGAGGCCAAGGGACGACAAGCTGAATGGCTGCGCGACGACCAAGCTAAGCATCAAGATGCAGAGAAAGCAGAAAAACATTACGCCAGAGTGAATTTATTAAACTTATTATCAGCAGTAGAAGCTGAGCGACTTGAATGTAAAAAGAAGAAAAGGAATTCTGATGAAGAATTCTACACATATGAACAAGCTACCGTGAGACAACACAAGCTGGTTAAAATTATGCCAGCAGCTGATATGGAGCAGTATGAGAAACAGAAGTATGGCGATGCTTTCCGTAGTGAACCTAATGTCACCATTCATGAGATGCACAAGGATCGAGAGGAAGCGATCGACAAGATGGTTAATGACCTGCTGGAAGAGCAGATTGTTAAAAGAGCTCGCTACTCTAGAAGTCGAGGGTATTTTGATGATGCAGATTACTACATCAATGACAAAAACGCCAAATTCAACAAGAAACTGGAATGTGAAGATTGGAAACTAGGAAGATCATACACAAGAGAACTAGGAACTGCCATTTAGTTTCTGCACGTTGTAACTATAAATATGAAGCTATTGTAGGTATATATGTATAGTAGTTAGAGTTAGGTGCTTTAGATATAAATTGTATAACATAGGTATATTTTAAAAATAATCTTTTTGCATGATTCTTAGACTCAGAAATATGTTCCTATTTGTAAATGTTTTAAGAGCTACTGTAACACCTTAAGACTGGAAAGTTTACTTGGCCATAAGCATCTAATGTAAAATTTCGTTTACGCCATTTGTGTTACATTTCCTGCCAAACTGTTCATGCTTTTAAATTAAATTATCACTTTGGAGCTCACTAGATGGATACCGTATTACTCTAGTTTAGCTTAAGTTATTAATTTGTAGCAGAGTTGTTCCAAACTTCAAGCAAAAGGATGATTGTGTTTCGATAGTTATTAAATTAAAAGTAATTTAAATTGTATTGTAATGTATACTATGTGTATAAAAATGAATTTTTAATTTAATAAACGTTTTTAAATTTTGATCCATTTTTTTATTTTAAATGCTTACTTAGGTATCTGTAAGTAGTTTTGCTCTCAAGCATCGTGCATGAGTATGTGGGTTCAAAACCTGGCAAGTATCAATGCAACTTGCGCTGAGATTACAATTTATTTATTCACCACTGACATGGCTATGATGAAGAAAACGTCGTAAGGAAAATTGGACTTAAAATTTGTAATTGTAAGTTTAAAATCGCCAATCAGCCTTAAGTAGGTACCTGTGAGAGTTATAGAGTGATGATCAATGATATAATGCCTTATAATGCTAACGAGATCAATGTTTACTGACGTTCGTGAAGTTTTCAGTCGGCAGTTATTAACTTCATAAATAAATATGTTATAGAGATAAATATATTCGTATATCAGATACTGCTAAAATATATAATCCTACGTAAAATATATATTCAACGGTCATATTTTTTAACTTTGCATGTAGTATCTATTTGCCTTCGTCTCAATAAAATGGACAGTGCATTTAAGGTTCCACGAATTATTTACTAAGAAAAATGCAATTTTTTAATACCACCTTTTTCAGACAATGCTAACATTAGGCACCCGGGTCGCTTAACTCCAGCGATCTATTTCAGTTAACAATAGGATGGAGCGTGGGAATATTGTTGGTACGTGTCATCACCATCATCAATGCCCACTGCTGAGCAAAGCCCCTTTTCGCACGGAGAAGGTTTGAGCATTAATCACCACGCATGCTCATTGCGGGTTGGCACAAACACTGATTTATAAAATTAAGTTTCGTTCCTTGGACTGCAATGACGCGTTCATTTTTATACAATTTTTCTAAGCAACCACCCCGCTTGTTGCAACGCCGCAGTGTGGTTATGGCAATATTTAACAGTTAGATACTTAGTTGATCTAGTGAATCTACCGACCTAGAGTTTGGCATATAGGGTTTGTAAATTAAATAAAAAGTATTTTTACCTCATTTATACAATATTTATTAAATATTGGTACTTATCTAAAATACATTTTTGATACACATACAGAATGACATATTTCTTAAAATACATAATTGTGTATCACAAACATCACAAGAGCTATTCTATATTTACATTTACGTCACTATTTACAACACAAATCTTCAACTTAACAATAACAAAATCAGTGCTAACTACAATTTATTAATTATAGAAAGGATTATAAGTGACCCAATGAGCCCTCTGCTGGTTTTTATTAGTTTGGTGTGAAGTGAATAATGACTTGAACACTTCACTGTTTTGAGGGTCCTTAGCTACACTGTACTCTTTCTTGGTTTTCTTATATGATGGGTCTTGGGCTAGTTCTGTGGGGTGGGCACGCTTTCTAGATCCAAAATGTCCCCTTGCGTGCTGGTTAGGGTTATACCTGGGCAGAGACAATGGTATTGTTTTAATTTTTTCTTTCTTCACTGCAGTCCTCGAGCTAGGGCCTGATTCGCTTTGTTTTATGTTCTGGTTCTCTGGTTTTATTACATCTGTGGAAACTTTTGTAGATGTGGCTGATCTGGGAGTCAACGGCTCTATCTTAACATTTGTCTTCAATGTTGTTTCTTCAGTCTTTGTTTCTTTAGAGCTTTTTCTGCTAGCAAGTCTGAGAGCCATTTTTTCCTTTAACTTTTTTATGTCATCATCAGTTCCATTAAGTGGTACTACATCATTGTCTGTGAATGGGTGCTGACACTGAGGACAAAACACAATAAATTAGACATGTTGTACTTGATAACAAGTAAGAACAGGGAGCAACTTTGGTAACTGTAAAAGGCAGTATGAAAATA